TGTAAAGCGAATCCATACAGATGGATATATTATCTCGGGTAAAGCTACTGACCAGATGCTTGGACAAGAATATGAAGCTGGGTGGAGAGATTTAAAAATCATAAAAACAGGCTTCTTATCAATAAAGAATGTGATGCGACTAGATTGGACCAATTTCGAAGAAATAATCCTGATCACGACTATGAACTCGAAAAAATCAACCATCCGTTATATATCCTCAATGTCAAATGAGATTCTTAATAGGATTTTCCAATATCATAGAAAAAATGAAGGCGAGAAATTACATTCTCTTTTATTAGTTAATAAGCAATGGTACTATAACGCTAGGAGACTAATATGGGAAAAAATAGATTTAACAGTCATTTCCGGAATCAAGTTCACTAAGGCATTAAGCAAAGATACGAAGCCAGATGCATGTGCGCAAGTATTAGGTCTAAAATTCATTGGAGATATAAATATAGAGCCAGATGTATACATTTCTGAAGTATGTAAGGCTTGCCCCAATTTACAATGGTTAAGTTTTGAAAATAGTGGATCACATATACTTAACAATAAAAATCTAGAAATGCTTTTAGCCGAGTGTCCCAATTTAAAAAGACTTACGATAAGAGGTTCTAGGCGCATAAGTCTGAAAGTATTTTTAAAAATTCCAGGGCTGACTACTAGTTTGGAAACGTTAGAAATTAGGGGATGTTTACGGATTAGAAATAATATAATATCTGATTTCCAAAACTTATACCCAAAAATAAAACTCATAATTGAGTCCGATGAGGAATAGGATTAGATAGCATTCATCCCAAACTGTGCAGTTATTTGGGAATCCAATCCAGTAAATATTAATCGATTTTTTTCCTTTTTTTTTGAATGAATATGACTGGGGGAAAAAAAGGTATTTATTTTGTGTAATATGACTAGTATATCTCCGGCTATACTATTATCAAATCAATAAAACAATATTCGGGTATGGATATTTTTTTGGCAATCATCATTTTTATTGATTAGCAAGGTAATAATGAATGACAAAATGCAGTGCATAATTGCTAATGATGATCTGGAAGAATCTCTTTTCACAAGACATTTACTCGCATTGTATAAAAACCCAGGCAGTCAGTATTTTTTTTCAAATCCTATTATCTAGTATAGAATGTCGGATTCTGAACAAAATAACGAGCCGATTCCAGAACTGTTCAAGACGCCTAGAGAAAAAAGCAATACTTCTTCACCTGAGCATCCTTCACTCATTAGATATAGAAACCTGGGATATAATATCCTAGAAAATATCAATGATGACCTTGTAAGAGATAAAGAAATTCCGGAACTTGGCCCATGTTCTGAATGTGTGAGCAATATTTTGACATGTCCTTTCAATGCCTTTACTACACTCTCTTGCGGACATGTGTTTCATAGACTCTGCGTTGAGAAGAAGCTTTTACTT